AATATTTAATATTCCACCAAAAGCATACTTTACTGTAGCCCCAGAAAACTTCGCGTTTCATTCCAACCTAAAAACCATTTTGGTGCATTAGTTCGTCGAAGAAAACCKTGAAGAAATGTTCCAACCTTGAATACTTTACTAAGAGGTCTCAATAAGTAAATGATTTTAGAGAATCGTTCAATTAGAGGCTCTCTCCCGTAAGTAATGATTCTCTATCACTTAATGTACTCCAGGAAGACAGGCCTATTCATTTATATCTTTCCAGTTTATCGTTGTGAAAAAGAATTAATGTATTATTTTTATATAACGAAACCTCTTTGACATCTTGAAAAGCTGCTTCTTTGAATGTACTTTATTATTGAACGCTKTGAAATCAGAGATTTAATAAGGGAAATAAGCAATAGAAACGTGTTTGTACAGACCATCAGTATTAAGAAGTATGATGTATGAAGACGCTTCATAGATTACACTTAACGCGTTATGCTTTCAATCCACGTTACGAACTTGAAGGTCAGGCCGCATAGTTTGCGACRAAGCGTTGCAAGCAGTAAATTCATCCTCTTGGCCGGCACGTTCTTGATCACCGAAGTGCATAGGAATTGGTCYGAGTTGCAGCAAAGAAGGTGCTCTCGACAGTTCTATAGATACAAAATATAACAATTGAGCAGAAAAACAAACTTCTACTAGTGGCACGTGAGTTCCACCTTGGATTCATGCGACCTAACTCAGCCCGTGCTGAATCATTGGCGTACAGCAACAACAAGTTTGTAGATCTATTTCGCAATGTTCAAGATCCAGCCTTTTCACAACAACTGCAATGGCAGCGAGAAACCAATGAGTTCGAGTGGCCAAGAGTTGCAGGTCCCTTTTGATCCGGAGACGGTCGATAACTTGCTAACCCGCGACATGGATAAGCTCTCCTTCAAGGCTAGGAATGATATCTACGAGGAAATCCATGGTGTTTCGAGTTTGGCTCCGGAAGAAACCCCCGCTCTTATCGAACGTTCCCTGTTGGCAATGTCCTCGGAAATAGATCGTATCAAACACGATTACGTTGCATACATCGAGGCTACGAGAGGAACGTACAACCAATACGTTCATGACATGGAATTGCGGCTTAGATTTTTGAGGTGCGAGCTCTTCAACGTGCYGAAAGCAGCGGTGCGAATGATGAAATATCTGGATCTTACACACGAACTCTTTGGCAAAAGTGCCCTGACGCGACCGATTGAATTGCGCGATCTTGGAAAATTGGAAATGGAAATGCTTCGAGTGGGAGACGCACAGCCAATGCCCTTTCGTGATCGGAGTGGACGGCGGATGATGGTTGCCCTCAACAATTTCGGTCTACAGTATCCGTTGGAAGTTCGGGTATGTATTTTAGCAAGATCGGCAAAGTTTTTGAACATAGATTCTACATGATTACGCGAGATGATTCACGGTTGCTACTTCCACTCACGAGAATCTCTTTCTCTGTGCCGCTGTTGATCTCTATCTTTCGTTTTCGAAGCTCCGAGTAACCTTGTATCTGCATTGGGCCCTTGGCGTAGATGAGGAATCGCAAAAAAAGGGTCTTATTGGCATCATTTGCTGGCCATCAAGTAAGGAGGCCTTGTCTCCTGATAAATTTTCTGTCTTGTATAAGCCCCGTGAATTACCACGGCATATCCAGATGAGCAGTCGAATGTTCGAATGCTTACCCCTTCGAATCGCAAGTATTCATGTATGCCTTCCMGACAAACCAATCTACCACATGATGCGTTCTGGAATAGCTCTTAGCATGAGAGCGTTTTCGTCGAGGTTGAAATTCCATTGTGGTAAGATTCAATTTGTAAACGAAAATCCTGTTGAGATTTCGTGTTGTCTCCCAAAGCGAAACCGATTGATGACTATTATCGAAATATCAAGACAGCGCGTTCTCAATTCTATTTTCTATTGCTTCCTACGAATCTTGCGATCGAAAATTATTACAAACATGTTCAAATTGCAACAATAGGAGACTCAATCGAAGTGCAGTATCATCTTCATGGCTACGGAATACCAGTTGACCAAATACCCATTACAGATACGGGTAATATCAAAACAAAAAATATCATGCAATGGATTCGAGTCCGGAAATTCCTCGAATCCTCAAAGAATAATGAAGCGATAACTTCCGATTCGGAATGGAGCGAAAATGTCGACGCAATGTACCTTGCAATTGACTGCCCAAACTTGAATGATGTCATTTTCCGAGGGAAACACGCGTGTTTGAGTCACCCCGGCAACGTAATGTTTCGCGGTTTGATAGAAGCGAAATACGACGAGCACAACAACGCCACCACAATCGATGAAAAGGTCCAGTTGACGTGGGACATTGTACGAGAAGTTGAAAGCAAGAATGGCCGGTTTCTGGTTTGGGATAATAATGGTTGCTGGAGAGAAATAACAAACAGAAATCRGACCCGAACGAAGGTGGCGGGTGCTCTAAAGGATCACAAACGACGATTGAAAGCTCGACAGAATGTCGCARTGAACTATTCTAGCACATACGAGTTTGAACGGCAAGACAACGAGAACAAAAAGAGAAAAGTTGATGTGAAGCATCAAACTTCCGATTGCTGTTTGAATTTACCATTCGTGAACAGTGACAAAAGGTAGAATGAATCGAGCAGATGGTGATTCGCAAACCAGTAAGTCCGTCGATCTTTTTATATAGGTGTGACGGGACGGACGATATTTTGGTGATATGATTCACTTATTAAATTCCGATGTTGCACGTGTATGAAACGTATACAACATCATTTTCCGAGATCCACGCACATGAACAGTCGCGAAAGGCCTCTGTTTCTTCTTAGCAATAACGATCAACTTATGCATTTCAGAGTCGCTTGGTGATAGTGGCTTGAGTATATATACCTCTATTTTTTCATTTCAAACCATGTTGGCTGGTGTTTTACATGAAGTTAGGCAACGCCCGCATATAAAGCCAGTGTTTGGCAGCTCACGAACAACAAAAAAATGGTCCGTATCCTACAAACATAAATAAATACAAATTAAAGAAATAACCCAGACTAAAACTGGCTCAAACCATCATTTTACTTTTCGCTTGGACAACAAATATATATTTAGTTATTCAAATATCATAATATTGTATGTCTTATTTCCTAGAAACATGCGAAAGGTGCATGAAATATTTTACGTGTACATCTGTGGCGGTTATTCCTTGTTCTTAGTCAATGAACAAAACGAATTGACCATGCATTGAGTCACTGCGGAAACCAAATGCCAAAGACTAGCGATGCTGTGGATGCGCCTATCACCGACCCGCCAATGACATCTGCCGGGAAATGCCTGTTGTCCACTACGCGACTTGCTGCGATAAAAGCGGCAATGAGCATTGGTGAGTAGCAGAGGAGCGATAAGAGCCGATAACTAGCTTCTCGGTTGCGTCGCTGACGTTGCTGCTTCTTGGAATTGGTGTTGCTAGATTGTGGTGAATTGTTTTTTTTTTTCAGAGAATTCGAGGGACCATTATTGATAGCGCAACGATTGTTCTCATTCGAAATGCTGCTTAGGCCAAACCTGCGTTCCAGATACATGGAAAATAACATCATTCCACAGAAACTCCATCCAGAATGGTTCGATGGGAAACTAAGACGAGCGTTTATAGTGTCTGCATCTTCCTCATCCAAGCAACGGAACTCGGATTGTTTGTCGTCGTAGTATGGTTGGCAAAAGTCAAAAAATACGGGGCGAAGGTACGAAACCTGTTCCAAAAATTCAAGAATTTGCGAAATAGAATTTGTGTGAGAAAAAATCGATCCGACGCGAACGAACAGAAAAGAGCTAGAACAAGCATCAAAATTTAATGTATGGAGAAATAATGTTTTCCGAGAATTCGGCAGCATAAGATCACTCACGTAATATTTGACAAAATTGATGACGGCATCCGTCAATCCAACCGCAGCAAAGTATACACAGGTCGTCCTGTGAACGACATCCCAACGGTAAAAATTGTTCACAATGCCATTTAGACTTCGTTGGTTCTGAGGAGCTAGGAACCAGGCCATAAAAACTTGCAAGAGCCAAGGAGCAAATCCCATCCATACGATATACGCAACGTGAGAAACAGTCTCGCCCGTGTTCTCTTCGAGGTTCGAAGACCTCCAAATAATGTTGGTGTAAGATTTGTATTCATCATCCCCACCCTCGGAACGATGAAAATCACTCGAGGCATCGATGCCTTCTTCGACCATGGCCGTCGAACCCCCCTTTGCGTATTGAAAGGGTATCGGTCGGTCCGTCATCGGTTCGGGGTTGACGAATTCGAAGTACATCCCCATCAAAAGGACAGGAACCACGCAAAGTACTAGCTCCAAGAATCTCCAAGAGAGCAGATATTCTCTCCAAGTTTCCGATTCATAGAGGTCATCGGAAGAATTGTTATTGCTGGCGCCTCCGTTGGAGTCGGTTTCGGACATGGATTTCATGAAGCCTTCATTATCTATCAAATTCGTGGTTTCATTATGTTCGACATTCACGCTGTTGCTGCCGTATTCTGCTCTTGTCATGTTAGGTGAAGTCACGGTGCAATCGATCCAAAAGGTTGTCAATGATTCAACCGTGCTATTACAGCGTTGCTTTGCTTTGGGGATTGCTAAGCTGTTTCGGAGAGTTATTGGAAATATAAGCAGTGCCAAAGAAGTATCGGTAGTTTTTTTCGGTGTCCGCAAAAATCGATCGCTATCATGATTTCTGTTCTTCCATGCGGGATTCCTCCAAATTCCTTTGCGAAGAAAGTACGGAAGTACCATTACTTCTATTTCAAATTTTTAGTGAAAGAAAAACGACCGACGGTGGTCAGACAGTATGAAAACGACTCTCACGATTGGCTCCCTAACGCAAATAAAGTACTTCTAATTTCTACGGTGCAAAAAGTTCAGATACTACTAGTTCAATGTTTCTAACTGTTTGATGATAGCAAGAACAAGATTAGGAAATGATATCTCTCCTCATCAACACCTGCAACACCAGCAGCAGCAATGATGAGGAGGCAAGAAGAAGTCTCATTTTCCCGTGCATCATGATGTTAGTAGATCTGTCAAAATTTAGACCACAAGAAGCAAGCTTTGTATGTTATTTCTTCATTGACCTTCACTGCTGCTGTTCCAGTCATGGTGGTGCCTATGACACCCCCAGCAGTGTTAGAAAACAAGTTCACTCCCTTTTGTTCAAGAATATTTCAAAACATTTTCTTACTACAAGAATAACATCAAACAGTASTASYMCCMSCMSCYSCTRSWAKA